TATATAAATGTGCCTTGCTTATGGTGACTTCAAAGAAGTACTTAGTGTAAGTAGTAGTATGGGATGCTACTTGCACATTGCACAAGTATGACTTAGAGTTGTCTTAGGTGATGGTCCTTATGTGATGATATGACTATTGTAATGTTATCTCTTGGTGTGAGTAGTTTTGAAGATGGAAAGATTAAATGGTAAGTTCACTTTTGGTGACCTTAATGTGGTGCCTTAGTGTGGATGGTGTTATGGGACGCTATCCATACATTGCACACGGTATAGCATGAGGGTTACTTGAGGTGAAGGTTTGAAGTGAAGGTAATGGTTTACATGGTGTTTATGTTCTAGTGTGATAAATGACTTGAATTATACCTCTTTTACACATATTCATGAAGTTTTACCAAAATGGCATAAAAGCATGACTTTCGAATCAAATTTCCTTTTTAAGCATAATTTTTGCATGTCTATCATACTTAGTACTTAATTATGGTAACCCTTTCTTCTTCTATGTTTAACTACAAGTGTAGGTTCCAGCAAGTGAGTTGCTTACCCCTAGTTGAAGCTTGTATTAGAGATTCTTCCAAGACTTGGTGTGTCCTCATTGATTAGAGGACAAGGTCTCTTATGTTTGATTTCTTCATGTAATAGACATTTAGTAGTTTTCGATTGTCAAGGGTCGTGTCCCTACTTATGTTTTTGTTTGTGTCTAAGATGGCCATGTGAGACTTAGACTTCCGTTGTGTGTTTTTAAAGTTGTTTTAAGAAGTTTAAATGTGTGGATGTAAATAAATTTTTTTATTATTCCGCACTATTTTCATTATTGAATGCAATGAATGACTATGTGGCTTGTATAAGACCCCTTCGGGGTCGAGTACGCCTTGTTACGACTTGGGGGTGCTCCCGGGTCGTGACATCCTTCTTCATCCCATTCCACCAATAGACTTTCCATAAATCACGGTACATCTTGGTCGATCCCAGGTGAATGGAATACCGCAAACTATGGGCTTCTAACAAGATTTTCTCCCTTAAGTCGTCAACATTTGGAACACACAAATGACCTTGATATCTAATTACCCACCCCCCTGGGAGAAAGCCTCAACAGATTTCTTAAGCACCGCTTCCTTTAGGTCGACTGAAATTGGATTAAGACTTTGCTTAGCTTTCACATCCGCCACTTGAGACGATTCGGAACCATTGTGAATCATAACACCACCCTTGGTGGAGTCCACCAATTGAATACCTAATCAGGACAATCTATAAACATCTCGAACCAACTCTTTCTTTTTTTCTTCAATATGAGCCACACGACCCATAGACAACCGACTAAGAGCATCCGCTACCACATTAGCTTTATTGGGGTGATAAAGAACACTCATGTCCTAATCTTTCAATAATTCAAGCCATCTTCTTTGGCGAAGATTTAGATCTTTTTGATTAAACATGTATTGCAAACTCTTGTGGTCGGTAAACATATCTACATGGATTCCATACAAATAAACCACAAAGCCATCGGTCCTTTCCGGTAAAGTCAACACCAGAGCGGAAGTAAGTCTATCTTTCAACTCTTGGAAACTCTTCTCACACCCTTTGGACCATATGAACTTAGTCTTTTTTTTAGGCAAAGCCGTCAAATGAGAGGCAATTGAAGAAAATCCCTCAACAAACCTTCTATAGTAACTGGCTAAACCCAAGAAACTTCTAATATATGAAGAAGTTAGAGGTCTAGGCCAACTCTTCACCGCATCCATCTTCTTACGATCTGTTGCTCCCAATTACATAAGCAAGTATACGTGGTCGCGCAAGTAATATAGATTCTTTAATGAAACGAGTTATTGTTCCCAAGGGACTTATGATCGATTTATATCTAACACTCAATTCCACAAATAAAATAAAAGTAACCTTTTCAAGAGTTGGTTACTACTACGAATTATGCAATAACTAAAAGTAACTAATTGTGTACGACGTTAAGATGATGTTTCAAGCAAGTAAAAGACAATTCCAGGCTGCAGCATGCATTGAATCTCATGTATCATATTATCGACTTAGAAATAATTTTAGTTGTCAAGTTACTGGTTTACAGGGTTAATTGTATGAGTCGGGTTACACATCTCTAGTCGCCTACTCCAGTTAGCTATCTAACTACATCGTTGAGCGGGGAGTAAACAGACAAACTGGCGAGTCATTTATATTTCATCTTGTTTCATACCAAGCAAGTTGTTCGTCGGGCGTCACTCCTAAACACAAATCACCTCAATCAAATGGGTCGATCGATCTCTTTATATTCTCTGGTCTATCTAATCTCTCCTCTCTCAATTTTAAGATTAGACAATAGATTTATCTTATGGTGCGCAAACATAAAAATACTAAAACAAGAAATATAAAAGTAACTTATAATGACAACCAAGAATTAATTGATAAACCTTAAATAATCAACATTCAATCTGTAGCTACAGCCCCAGAACTAAGGCGTTTAGCCACTCATGCTATTAGAAAACCATAAAATATAATTGTTCATGAGATTTTCGGAAAATAGAAGAGTTAGAAGATAGAAACCTATTACAAACGATGAAACTTGCTCTTGCACACCAAAATAATGTCGAACCCCCACAAATTAGCCCTTGAGGACTATTTATAGAAGTTAGGAAAACTAGTGCCTATTTATTTTTCTTCTGAGTCAAATCTAAGAACACATGCTTGTTTCAAAGTTATAAATCTTTTGCATCATTCTAATTATGACTACCCATGACGTTTAGCTAACTTTTTAAGACATAGTATCAAAAGACCAAGGTTGGTTTCTCAATCCTACTCCTCTATGTGACTAATTTTCCCTTAAGACGGTCGTCATCCATCTATCATTGGGAACTGTCACTCCTACGACGACTCTAAGACTCAATAAAGCAATAAAACTAGTCCTAGTCGGTTTAAAGGGACTATCCTCGGTAAAAAGTACCGAAAACAAACGCTGAGGAACCCAAAAAAAATTAAGCATAAACTAAAAACTAACTTAACTAACTAGACTCGATAAAGCAATAAACATTGTCCTCAGTGTTTAGCTTCCACCCCACACTTAAAGAAAACATTGTCCTCAGTGTGCAAAGTAAAACAAAGTGAAAAGGTAAAAGAGAACTCCCTTTCGGCCTCTAGGCCACGTGCTACCAATCAACAGGTTGCCACATTGGTGGCAAAATCCATAGACATCGAGGCTGCAACACCATCTCCATCGCTCGCATCAGTATCACCATTTCCGGGGCCAGTATCATCCGATGCATCCTCATCTGAGCCATCCTCTTCATCAGCAGTGGCATCATCATCATCAATGGGTTCTTGGAAAGCCGGGCCCATTCGACACAAGTACATCGCGCTATCTGTCAAAGGGTAGTGCTCCGCTACTGTTGCCATTTTATCCTCAGTCACCAGACGGCCACCTATCCGCAATTGTAGCTCAGCCATTCCAAACAAACGCCCCATCCAACTATCATTACAAACTTGCCTATTAATAGCAGTCAACACGGGCCCTTGCGATGGATCGTGCGCTTTAGTTCTCATGACATCAACCAAGCGGCACACTAAGTGAGGGGCATGAGGGGGCACACATCATGCACTTCCTCCTCAATTCGTAAATCCCGAAGGTACCTAGTAATGATGCTCCCATAACAGAAACACCCTCTCTTATTTGTCCTAAACTTAATCATGTTTTGCTTCAAAATAGCCCCAACATTCACCGGCAAACCCTTCATCAAACGGTATACTAGACCACTCTCTCTCTAGTGACATCAGTCGTATGCTTACACGGTAGTAAGGTGCTACACACAATTTTTAACCAAATACGAGCCTCCAAATTAAAGTGACCATAGTTAAGAATCAAATGACGTTCCGTGTCTCTAATCCTATCCCACCGCGCAACAGAATTCACCCCACACAAAGTATGCCTAATATCACGATAAGGGGTCTTTCAATCATTGCCAGAAATTCAAAATTGTCACAATTTGGTGTACCCAAAAATTCATTCAGTGCTTCCACAGTAAATCTCACCCGACTATCCCTAATTAACCCTTGGTTTAACTCAACACGATAAGTACTCCAATTCACATAAAATTCACGGACTAAGCTTAGATTGCACTCACCTTGATCCACGAAGACATATTAGAGTCCCAAAGCATGGATTTGGGTGTGAATGTGGGGAAATTCTTGTCGCAATCGCCCCTCATCTACATACTCATCACCTAGGTAATTGGATTGTTGTTGACATTCGTACCAATCCTCTTCATAGTGCATTAAAGCTTGCTTGCCAAATTTTTGAGGCGGCGAATTGGTGGTTTCCCGACTAGAACTTTCGGCAGCCGCTCCTTTCCTACTCTTCTTGGTACCCAAACCACTAGCAACATTCTTACCCTTAGGAGCCATTGTTACACCCAACCAATGGAAGAAACTACACTACAACAATAAAGACTTTTAGCGGCAATTAATATACACTTTAGCGGCAATACAAATTGCCACTAAAGCTTTTACCGGCATTTAGTTAATTGTCATTGGATCCAATGTCGCTAAAGGATTTAGCGGCAATTACAAAGAGTGTCGTAAACCTACAAATTATTGCCGCTAAAAGGTTTAACTTTAGTGGCATTTATTTGACGTCAATAACAATTGCCACTAATACCACCTAGAATTTACATCTTACATTGCCATTAATGATATACCTTATTAGCAGTAAAATTATTCACAAATTGGCAAATATTAATAGTAAGAAATATCTTACTTCATTAAAATCACAATAAGCAAAAAACTAGTAATTCATTATCTTAATGTCAACAACATAAAAGAAAAATTACACCATTTAATTTCAAAAGCTATTCTTATTTTGAGTGTAACAAGATGATTGAGAAACAAGCAGTTGTCTAGAATCTTTCAAGATAGGCATCTGCAAGAAATGCCTAATTTAGGGTGGGATACAACATGTTCCAGACCAATTTGAGGCATTATTTGAAGTTGTAGCACTATGTTGGTTGAGCCTATTCTTGAAATACAAAACAAGTTTTGTGCTCATCCCATTTCACAGTATTCATTTCCTGCCAACAAATATCAAGAAAAAACACTCAATCAAACATGAAAAGCGCTAAAAAAGCTCAAAATTTCAAGATATTGGCATTTCATATAAAATGTCAGCCTAAAAATTGAACTTAAAAAAGTTAATTGGAGGGAATAGATAGCTGATAGAACAAAGAAAATGTCAGAGGGCAGTGATTGCAGATGTGTACATTACTGAAAAACTAGTAATATCAATGTCCATTGAGTGGCTTGTAGAGGAGAATCATAAAGGGTTCATAATACTTCAACAATATCACATATAAAATGCGTCTACAGAGATTACCAAAGCAAAAACTGCACAAATCAAGTTGAATCCTTTGTAGTTGAAAGGTGCATTGCTGGACAAGAACCAAGCTACAACAATTCCAAGTCAAAGTAACATGATTGATTGAAGAAGAAACTCTAGCTACAACATGATCTTCAATAAAGAAAGAAGGGTGTATCAAAAGCTTGAGAGCACAAGCATTATATAGTAAATGTCATGCAACAAGCCTTAAGGGGCATCAACAAATTGATCCATATAGCTTCTTCACTGCAATTTCTTCACTAATTTATAGCTTGTACCAGAATTTAAGCTTTGTAGTTCAAACTAACGGTAAAAACTTACGAGGTGCTAAGAATATCAGGATGAATGTTGTATTCTTTTGCAAACACAAAGGGATTAATGTCATGGGGAAGAGCATCCTACAAGTTATAAATGACAATATCATTCATTAGACATGATAGATTTGTCATTTGTCATGGCATTATGAGCTAAAATTACATACTTGAATATAAGACAAGATTGGGATGCATGACTTGGATCTCTTTTTGATACCCCATTATATTAGTACTATTTAGGAAAGTTACAGGAACGTCAAAAAATAAAATCTTTTCTGGTCTCACCAACTCACTCTATTTATAACAACATACCCAGTGTAATCGTACAAGTGGGGTCTGGAAAAGGGTGGTGTGTACGCATAGCTTATCCCCTAGTGAAGGTGGTAAATAAGTTGTTACAAAAAGACCCTCGGGTCACTCTGTTAACATCATCTCAAATATTTGGCATCTCTTAAATGTAACCCAAAGCAATCTTAAGTAGCTATTCACGAAAGGGTGTGCAAATTAATCCAGAAAACATCACTATTGAAAATAAATAAATGAAATAAAACACAACACAAAAAAGAATCAAAAAGTTGTGTGAAGATACCTTATTATCTGAAATTATGACTAAAACAATACAAATAATACAACATCCTCTCAACTCTAAATCATGAATACAACAATGCAAATTAAATCATCATAAATTGCCATGTAGTTCTGAAGCATTCAACTCAAAGGCCAAGTAAAATCTATGTACATAAACTGTTATGTTACACGTACATGCTAATTTCAAAATTGGCTGCACTCTAATTTAATTAAATGAATATGATGTTAGAGAATAAAAACAAGAGGGGAAAAATGAAACCTCTTGACTGGGGTGTATGTGTTAAAAAATCAATGTTTGTTCTAGTCAGTACCTTCAGGTATGATTCCCATTTTGCTAGATTGTAAAATGCTATCAGCAGGTGAGATTGACAACAATCAAAACGGATCCTGCAAAACAACAGAAAGAACAAAGTTAATATCAAGATTAATTTCCATCCGAACACCCAAAGATATCGGTGCACTGAGGAGAGTTGTCGATCTCCTATTTCTTAATATATAAAAGTAGTAGATTTTTTAAGGATCTGACAGGAGTATGTCATCGTTTTTGGAGAATCTGAGGAACATAACAAATCGACAGTGCAAATTTGAAAAACTCATTCATTTTCATTTTTTACCTTCACATCTCTTCTCCTTTCCCCATTTTCACAAGCACGACTACAAGTTTTTGGAGCAGTGAAGAGCACACAGAGGCACCCTTTAGTTATATAGTCGTAATAAGTTTTAGCCGTTTATTTAGAACAGTGAATTAGTATTTTTTTCCAGCAGTTATTGTCTAGTTAGGTTTCATTACTTCAGTTCGTTTAGGAGTCTTCGTCTTTTAACTTATACTCAGTCTTTACAGATAGACAGACAATAGAAATGCATAATGGATTTTAATCACCCCCCTCCCCCCACATCCCCAAATACCAAAACATCAATTTCTTCTCAACTGTTAACTTCATATTACTTGTTTTGACAGGAGCTTGACTCACCAGACCCGTTTGTTTACCTAGTTTTTGCGTCTCAATTTCTCCCTTCACAAAAATTAAAATGTTGGCTTACCGCAATTTCAACTCGTGGTATAAGGGCTGATACTGAATCAATACAAATGAGATTTACAACACCCAATCTACACATTTGGCCTACGATTGTGATAGCTAAAAAGTTGTTAACAATACAAACTATAGTAAGAGCACCACAATCATCAATGGGTAGAATAAATCAAATACATACTACACCTGTAATTGTGCAAAAGCATTGAGAGCTAAGTAGTTTTCCTACTATTTTTATGCCCATATATCTGTAAAGATAAATGTGAGGAAAGCAATCAGATAACAAATTGCAGCAACATTGTTAATAAAACTTCATTGCACCATGCCTAAAACTTATGTTGTCCAGAAAACACATTTTTTCTATATGCAACAGCACTGCGATGCTAAGTTACAATTTGACACGAAAATGCAACATATGTATGACCAACACACTCCTTAACACTTAAATTCATCCATACTGATATAAAGCACTTATGATGCTTTGAAAGAAAAAATTTCAGTGAAACAATTTATCAAACATCTAACAAAATGCATATCCACAAATGTTCAAAGATAGAAGACATGAAAAAAATGGAAAACTACAACAATTTGAAGCCATCAAAAGTGATAAGGGAGAGAAAGACAAAACACCTCTTGCCGGCTAGTGAAATCATCAAAAGTGTTGTCATTAAGCCTATTATGTTTTGACCTCTTTGTATTTGTCTCCATCCGTCAGCCGATCCAGTGTAATAGTGTGCTCCAGTGACTCCCACACTCGATTCTTCGCACATAACCCTAATTATACTTCACTTACAGATACTAATTGAAGGAAATTGAGAATTGAAAATATATAGGGTAGGGATTTGGAGGGACCTAATTTGATTGAGAGAGAGAAGCAGAGAGCATCTGATGAAGAGTGAATAGTTTAATTTATTCCTAAAAGGATTTGCACTTAAAAGCCACTTGAAATTACTAATCATTTACCAACAAAAGTTTAATTGCCACAATAGGTGACTTCAGAATATAAATTAGTGGCATTTAATTAATTTCCACTAAAAGTCTATTATGGTGTAATGCTAAGAAAAGAAGAAAAAAAAAATTTTGGGGAAAAAGAGGAGGGGGCGCGGGTGGAGAGTAGGGTGGGTGGGGTTGGTGGTTTTTGAAAGTTTGGTGGATTAGAGTGGATTTTAGGGGGTGAGAGTTGAGGAAAAGAGAAAGGAAGAAGGTTTAAGTAAGGATTAATGGAGGATTTTGGAGAACAAGAAAAATTATGGCTTTAGAGAGAATTTGGAGGAGGGGATCGGTTTAGAAAGAGAAAGAATTTGGGAAAGTGGGGTGTATTTGGGTAAGTGGAGGAGTTAAAAGGTTGGAATTTAAGTGGGTCCCACGAAATTCCCAAAAAAGAATTTCAGCTATTTGGCGCGATAGGGGGGAGGCGTGCTGCCAGTGCACCAGAAATCGCCCCTAGTCAAACTTTTTCTAGAGCGAGGTGCCCTGTCTACGCCCACAGGTGTGGTGCGGCGTGCCCAGGCTGTGCCTGCCATCGACATTCTTTGGGGGACTGGCGCGTTGTGCTGCCAATGCGTCAAAAAGAGGCCCCAGTCATTTAGCCTTGGCGTGGCGCGCCCAAATTGCATTTTTCAATGTATTTCTTCTATTTTCGGGTGGTTTCTCCTTCTATGACTTGCGCATCAACCAAACAATGTGACATAATAATGGTGGGTTGCCTCCCACCCAACGCCTTAGCTTTGGTCGTGACACAACTCATCTTTTTGATTTTTTTCTTTATAACTTCTAAAGTCCTATCTAAATAACGAACTAAAAAATAAAAACTGTACACCTAAAAATTTGAAATTAAGCTTAAATTTTAAAATTAATCCAAAATACTACCTGTTACATATTATTCACGGGTTGTCTCCCATGTAGAGCTTGATTTAACGTCGCGGCACGACTCAACTTGGATCATTCATCATTTAGCTCAAGAGCCTCCCGATCACGATCCGAATCCACACCAAAGTAGTGTTTCACCCTTTGCCCATTTACCAAGAACGTAGGGCCAGTTTCACCTGTAAGTTCAACAACCCCATGCTGTGTCATTCTTACCACTTCGAAAGGACCACTCCATTTAGACCTTAGTTTTTCGGGGAATAACCTCAATCTAGAGTTAAAGAGTAGTACCTTTTCTCCCGGAGTGAAAGTACGAGTAACTATGTGCTTCTCATGCCACCTTTTCATCTTTTCTTTGTAAAGCTTGGAATTCTCATACGCGTGGAGCCTAAAATCCTCAAGTTCATGCAATTGATTCACTCTCTTTCTACCGGCCAGCTTGGGGTCCAAGTTCAACCTCTTAATCGCCCATTAAACTTGATGTTCTAATTCTGCCGGAAGATGACATGCTTTACCAAATACTATATGACAGGGAGAAGTCCCTATGGGTATCTGATACGCAGTCCTATATGCCCATAAAACAGCATATAACATCTCAGACCAATCTTTCCTCTGTGCATTCACCATTTTCTACAAAATTTCCTTCACCTCTCTATTCAAAACCTTCACTTGGCGACTCATTTGGGGATGGTAAGCTTTAGCAACTTTATGATGAATACCATACTTAGCAAGATGATTTTTTACTAGATGGTTAATGAAATGCTCACCTCCATCACTTATGATTGCCCTTTGAGTGCCAAAGCGAGTGAAGATGTGCTTCTTGATGAACTTAATCACCACCCTTGCATCATTCGAAGGAAAAGCGACATCCTCAACCCATTTACTCACATAATCCACAGCCACAAAAATGTATTGGTTTCCACTAGATGGCGGGAAGGGACCCATGAAGTCAATACCCCACACATAAAAAATTTTCACCTCCAAAATGTTACTTAGCGGCATCTCATGTCTTCTTGAAATAGTACCCAACCTTTGGCATTTATTAGAACCCTTCACAAAAGCAATAGAATCTTTAAATAATGATGGCCAAAATAAACCAGATTGTAGTACCTTATGCGCCGTGCGCTCTCCTCCATGGTGTCCACCATATGGGTTAGCATGAAAAATTTCAAGCACTTTTTGAACCTCATATTTCGGAATGCATCTTTTCACCACCCGAACCACACCTTGTTTGAACAAGAATAGTTCATCCCAAGTATAGAACTTAGCATCATGATTGAACTTTTTCTTTTGTTGGGTGGTTGCACCCGGAGGGTAGTCTCCACTTACTATCAGATTCACAATGTTCGCATACCAAGACACTTAAGAGAAATCTAATGCCATCAATTGTTCATCCAAAAACTCTTCCCAAATTTGCTCAACTTCATTTACATGGGAAAAATCCTCTAACCTCGACAAATGATCAGCTATTTGATTTTCAGTACCTTTCCTATCTTTAATCTCAAGGTCAAATTCTTGGAGAAGCAATATTCATCGAATCAGCCTTGGTTTAACATCCTTCTTATTGAATAGTACCTAATATCTGCATGGTCAGTAAAAACAATAACTTTTACCAAATACGATCTGAACTTGTCGAAGGCGAACACTAAAGCTCGTATCTCCTTCTCAGTCACTGTGTAATTAGCTTGTGTAGAGTCCAGGGTCTTACTTGCATAATAGATCGAGTAGAACACCTTTCCTTTTCTTTGTCCCAATACTGCACCCACTGCTACGTCGCTTGCATCATACATGAGTTTAAATGGTAATTCCCAATCAGGAGCAATTAAGATGGGAGCCTCAATTAAGTTCCTTTTCAACATCTGAAAAGCTTTCAAGAACATCTCATCAAAGTCAAACTTCACCTCCTTCTCCAAAAAACTGCACAAAGGTCTTGCAATCTTGGTAAAATCCATGATGAATCGCCGGTAAAAACCTGTATGACCAAGAAAACTACGCACCCCTTTGACAGAAATGAGAGGGGGAAATTTCTCAATAACTTCTACCTTTGCTTTATCAACCTCTAAACCCGACTTAGACACCTTGTGACCCAACACTATCCCCTCTCTAGACAATAAATGACACTTCTCTCAATTTAACACTAAGTTAGTGTCCTCACATTTAGCAATTACTTTATCAAGATTCCAGAGACATACCTAAAAAGACTTCCCAAAGATGAAGAAATCATTCATGAACACCTCTACAAAGTCTTCCACCATATCATGAAAAATGGCCATCATACATCTTTGAAAAGTCGCTGGTACATTGCAAAGTCCGAATGGCATGCGTTTGAAAGCATAGGTACCATAAATACAAGTGAACGTGGTCTTTTCCTGATCCTCGGGGGAAATTAAGATCTGGGTGTATATGGAATATCTATCTAAGAAATAATAGTACTCCTGTCCTGCTAGTCGGTCTAGCATCTGATCAATGAAGGGAACCGGGTAGTGATCTTTACAGGTGGCATCGTTAAGTTTCCGGTAATCCATGCAAATTCTCCAACCGGTCATTGTTCTAGTAGGAATCAACTCATTCTTTTCGTTCCTTACCACTGTGATACCTCCTTTCTTGGGAACACACTGCACCGGACTTACCGACTTACTATCAGCAATCGGGTACACAATTCCAGCATCTAGCCACTTTATTACCTCCTTTCTCACCACTTCTTTCATCACATGGTTTAGAGTAAGTTGATGTTGTGCATTTGGTTTGTGATCATCTTCCATGTAGATTCTTTGCATACATAACGCCGAACTAATCCCATGAATATCATCCATTTGCCATCCAATCGCTTTCCTTGTCCGCTTTCGGATTCTCAATGCCGTATCAACCTGTATTTCAAACAACTCTGCAGAAAGTATAACGGGAAAAGTTTCATTAGCACCCAAAAATACATACCTTAGGTGAGCAGGCAGAGTTTTTAACTCCAGCTTGGGAGCTTCTTTTATTGATGGCTTTGCTGGAGGCCCTAAATCACGATCTTATGGATCCACTCTACGCTTATGAGTCTCCACAAGTGTCAGATTCAAACATGTTTCTATCTTTTGAGCCTTAGTATCTCCCTCCACCTCATGACGTACTAGTACTCTTTCTAAGAGATCTTCAGGCACAATTAATTGCGATTCTACTATGTGATCAACCACCGTAATAACAGACAATTCTTCATAGATAGAGGGAAATTTTAAAGCGCGGTAAACATCAAATACCTCAACCTTATCATGTGCCCTCATAGTTAATTGCCCAGCTGCTGCATCAATCAATGTCCTACCCGTGGCCAAGAACGGACGTCCCAAAATGAATGGGACTTGAGAATCGGGTTCATAGTCTAAAACCACAAAATCCACCAAAAATATTAAGGAACCTACTTGGACTAACACAACCTCTACGATCCCCTCTGGCCTAGAAATGGTTCTATTAGCGAGTTGGACAATGACAGTGGTTCGTTTTGGACTACCCAACCTAAGTTTTTGATACAATGACAAGGGCATCAGATTTATACTTGCCCCCAAATCACACAATCCCCGAGGATGAACACTTTGCCCAATTGTAATCTACACAGTAAAACTACCCAAATCTTTTAACTTTGTGGGTAGTGTATTTTGAATTCTAGAGATGCACTCCTCAGTAAGTGCTACAGTTTCATACTCGGTGAGCCTTCTCTTGTTAGCCACTATCTCCTTCACGTATTTAGCATACTTCGGGATACCCTGCAAAATGTCAACCAAAGGTAGGTTAATGTGAACCTATTTAAGGAGAGAGAGAGAAACTTACTAAAGCATTCATCCTCATTCTGCTTTCTGAGACTTTGTGGAAATGGAGAGGGTAGTTTCTTTTGAGGAATGGGCGTCTCAACATTAGAGCTTTTTACTACCTCATCCATTTTATTTTCTTTAGTACCAGCCTTAATATCTCTCTTGTTTGGAGAAAGTTTCTCTATTTGTAACCCACTTCTATTATTCACAGCATTTAGTTGCTTTGGGTTGGGTTCAGTGTCACCGGGCAGCCCACCTTGGGGACGCAAGTTCAGAGAATTAGCTACTTGCGCAACTTGTTTCTCTAAACTCATTTGGGACATTTGGAGGTTTCTGATGTTATCATCATGCTTATCTATCCTAGCATTTATTTTTGTCCTATTTCAGCAATGAGCTTTTGGAGTAGCTCCTCATTGGTCATTGATGAGTCCACAAATTGGACTCATTTAGGGCTATATTTTGATAGAATTAGTGTCCTCAAATGCATATTTTGTCTCAATATATGATGAAAACCCTTAAGTTTCAGGTATTTAGAGTTTGAGGCAAAGCATAGACACTACTTGGCAAGAAGGAACAAAGAGGTTGAAAAAAATGAAGATATGAAGGCCTGAGGATCGCCAAGCCCAGTTGGCGAGTCGCCGATTGGCCTAGAGATCGCCTTTTGTTCCAGTGTGCTGAGCCCTGAAGGGAAAGATTAAGTTGGCGATGAAATGGAGCAGTCGGCGTGTCACTGAGTAGTTCCGCGAAGCAGTACCATATTGCCCAACGACTCAAAGCGCAAAGAGGTTGTAGGCTAAAGCAAGAAGGCGATGAAATCGACCAAAAGGCGGATCGCCGAGTGTATCGGCGATCCCGACTAACTGCGCCGAGTGGTCCGTTGCAGCACACATTTTCAAACACTATAAATACTTTTTTAAATTTCTAGCTTAATATCATATCACTATTATTATTAGAACTTTTTACAATTTTTGAGAGAGTCTAAGTTTTAGAGGGTTTTGGAGACTTTGTTCTAATACCTTGAAGATTCAAAGGGTTTCAACTCCAAGAAATTAAACTTGGGTCTTGAAGATTCTTCACTCTTGAAGTGTTTTAAGACTTAATTCTTCATATCTAGTTGATGGAAACTGATATTGGTATAAATTTTTATCTCTTTTATATGTCTAGCTAAAACCCCAATTCTTGGGGTGTGATTTTGTGAATATGGGTTAAATTATCCATTGGGTCTTGCTTGTTGATGGTTTATTTGTTGTTTAAATGTGATTTCGTTTAGTAGTTGTGTATGAACTTAATGGGATTGTAGTTGCAAATATGATTTCATCTTAGTGTTTTTGGCTTGCTCGAGAGAGAGGTCGTAAGACTAAGACTACTAAATTGATAGCCGGTGGCATTGGGTCGACATGGGTTTAGCACGAGAGAGTGAATCCTAGTCCTTTTCCCACACATTCAGCTCGAGAGAGTGAATGGGCTTAGGCGGAGGTTGTGCTTAAGGTGGCAACTCGGTGTTTGAGAGAAACCGAGTTGATTCGGGGTAAGTTGCTCGAGAGAGAATTTACCCCCACTATAGTATAGCCTAGTCACAAATGCTCAACAATTTACTATCAAAAGCATGTACCCGATAGTCTAGTTTAACCCGTATTCCTATCCCATCCTAAGAATCCCGTCTCCATATCTCGTTTCCTTATATTTTTACTCTTTTTTTTAGTTGTTAATTAATACAAACCCCCATCGGTAATTGACTCTTGCATCACTCCTTAGATTTAGTATGTTTTTATTCGTTAATATTTATAGCTATGACTAATTTGAACTAAATTTTATTTTTCTATTAATTCTCAAAACCACTCCATGTGGGAATGATCCCAACCTTTGGTTGGGTTATATCACTACACGCGATCGTATGACACTTGAACCAAACTAGTGTCAGTTAAATACATCCTTATACGTCAAAATTGCGCCGCTGCCGGGGAGTGGTGTTATTTCAGATTTTGTAGTTTAGTAAAAATTTTGTTCTTCTTAGTTGTAGTTCTACTTACTTAATTTTTAGTTTTGTTTTATTTACTTGTGTGAATATTTCAGTAATCATGAGTGTTAATGGCAGCAACGGTATCCAGGTAGGTCACCAAGATGACATCCGTAATCTCAACAATGTCCTAGAGCCCAACATCAATGGCCCCCATCTCATGGGAGGTATTGGAGCCATCCGTTTACCTCCAGCCAAGGGAAATGCAGTGTTACACATAACGAGCACTATGTTGCAACTCTTGCAACTAAAGGAACTTTTCAGCGGGTTGGCTCACGAGGATCCTCACGAGCATCTTCAAAACTTCGTGGATGTGTGCGGACCATTTTTGTTCAAAAACATCTCTCAGGAGTCAGTCCGGTTAAGGTTATTCCCTTTCTCGTTGATGGGAGAGGCGTGCAAATGGCTGGCCAAGTTGCCGCGTGAATCCATCACATCTTGGGAGGAATTGGTGACTGCATTTCTAGTGCGATTTTTCCCTCCCTCGAAGATGATGACTCTTCGGGATAGCATTCAGAGCTTTAAGCATCTAGAAGGAGAACCTTTGCACGAAACTTGGTTGCGGTTCAAAAAGATGGTGCTTCAATGCCCAACCCATTTTTTGCCGGATAACGTGCTGCTATAGTACTTTTATCGGAGTTTGTACTCGGTAAACAAAGGTGTTGTTGACCAACTTTCGCCTGGAGGCTTAATGCAACAACCATATGCAATAGCAACCCAACTTCTTGATGGCATGACAACCATCAACAGAGCGTGGTACACCCACGAGGACTAGGTGTCCCGTCTCACATTCAATCTATCCAATGAGAAGATGGAAAAGGATCATGAGAGAGACCAAAACATGGCTAAGATCATGACATAGCATGACATTTTATCCAAAAATGTCATAGGGCTGGTGCCCGTAGTGTCAATGCTGTTGGGGTCGAGTGTGTAAATCCTGAGGAGACGAAGTTTGAAGCCTTGTATAATGAGGAGGTAAATTTTCTAGCCAACCAAGGTGGTGGTTATCATTCAAACTACCCGAGTCAGGGTGGTAACCAGGGTTGGGCTAGAGAAGATGGTTGGAAGGATCGTGACAGAGAAAGGAGAGACCGAAATCCTAACCGGAAGGATGGGGAGAAGGACATGTATGTGCCTCCCCATGAGCGCCAAAAGCTGAAGGATTCAAAAGGTGGTAGGTCTGAGGATATGCTCTCTCGTATCATCCACAAATTAGAAGGGTCAGACAAGATTTTGAAAGAAATGAAAGAAGATGTGTCCACCCTTAGCCAAACCGTCACCTCCCATTCAGTGTCGATAAAGCAGTTGAAGACCCAAATGGGTCATATATCGTCTCCTCTCAATCTGAGACAGCAAAGGGGTTTACCTAGTGATACTATGGCTAACCTCAAGAATGAGGTTTGAAGGTGGACTTGCGTCGTGCCACGACTTTAACTAAGGCGCTGTTTGGGAGGCAACCCAAAACTCATTATTGCTTTCTATTTGTGTTTTGGTAAAATAATGGTGTGTTGTTTGTACAGGTTGAAGTGAGGAAAGTGTTCGAAAAAGTGCAGGGTGGCGAGCAACAGTTCCAGTCAGCGACCCCGACCTAATCCGCCGTTTGACTCAAGACATCTTCAAATTGAAGTATGTAAATGTAGCGACCCTTTCGAAAGGATACTACCACTTAAACAAGAAATCTAATTAAATACTTGCGACATTTAAAAGAGATTAACTATGGCCATAATGAATATAATTTAGTAGAGGAATTAGGTTCATAAAGAAAAAAAAAAGGAATAGTTAAGGATGTGCACCCTGCCCATTTAAATATTTATTTGATGTCAAATTGATATTGTGCAGAATTTTAACTTATGGCGGACAAACCCTTCCAAAATAATCTAAGAAAATAACTTCCGAGATTTTCATGCATATATTATCCTCACACTTAAAAATGATATAAAAAGAATATTACCAACTTCCGAGTACCAAATTTAGCCGATTCATGCTTCAGACAAACATCCAAACCAATAATAAATTTAGTATATTACAAGACTTGGGTTTAAAAACCCCCAAAAAGAACAAAACATATAGTCACACTTATATTACCACCCATAGTGACATGATCAAATTATCCTTCAAAGCTCATGTAAATGTACAACACATAGATCATGTACAAGTCCCAAGGTTTATACAAAATATAGATGCCTATATGCAAATGTGATCTTCCTTAAGGCTCTCAAAATCTCCATCTCCAATGGCCAACTTCATGCCTCCTCTCGATCATTCCCTACGATAGAAACAACTATCGCTAAGCATATAGCTTAGTGGTGTAAAAACTATAGGTTCTGAGCCCTCAGATTCACAAAGCTACCTTTCTCAAGTCATAGGCAGAACAATTGAAACATAACAAATAAATCAAGTAAACAATAGATAAAGAGTATCAAGTTTGATATTTAGAGATTCAAATGTTAAGAACGCTCATAGCATCATTTTCCAAGAGATTCAACAACAAGGCTCTCCCAATATATACATCATCTCGTCACACCAAGCACAAAGAGGTATCAAGAAGGGGCGACACCCTGTATCAAGAAGGGTCAAAGCCCAATAATCAAGAGAACCAAGAACCATATTAAAAATGACTTTGTAGTTCGTACTTAAAATGGACAACTTCCATTCTTAAGACGGACTAAAAATCCAGAGTTCAAGAGGCATGCCAATATTGACAAAGTCACAGCCACAAGAAGGACAAGGTCCCAACAAGAGTACCAAGTGATCAAATAATCCGTACAAGTGGGCGAGTTACACAAGCGTCTTTAATGTCTTAAAGGATACCAACACGACAATGCAAAGTGACAAGGGGTAACCAAGGTACCAAGATAAACTTTCAGATATACCAGTAGGTAAAAAGAGTACAAGTACAAGTTTATACACAAACCTCAATGCTTAGCTTAGAAACAGTCCAACACAACTTCAAAAGTTCAAACCGTAGGCCAACCAACGTATCAAGGTCCTTAATTTGTTCACGATTATATACAACCTTAAAATAAAATTAAATAACTTCTCTAATTCCTAGTAACTCAATAATGTTGATGTAAAATAGGATTATCATCACAAGTAAGCTTCGCCTATACAAATACGACTATGCTCCCAAAACAGTGATTCTGGCCAGTCTAGTACATCATGTCGCAACTTAGATTTGAAAAGGAAAAAGGCAAAACTGGACTTTATATCCCGCATGAGAGATGTAGGTACATCTCTCAAGGTTTCAAATAACCAAGAATCATCGCAAAATATATTCTGTATAAAAAGATATATTCA